TATATATATATATATATATATATATATATATATATATATATATATATATATATATATATATATATATATATATATATATATATATATATATATATATATATATATATATATATATATATATATAAATATAAATATATAAATATATGTATATATAAATAAATCATATATTAGAGTTTCTAATGTATGTGCTGGTGTATTTATGCATACATATATACGAATTCAGTTCTACCTTCTCATGGATATATGCGCCCTATCAAGATTAACCAAGGATTTTTTTACTTACACCAGTGGGGAGTCTTTGTCAATAGCGCAGCACGGAACATTGGCGGACGCCCTGGGCCGTGCGTTGCAGCAACAACATTCTCAGAAACGGCTGTCCGGTCACAGTGCTATCAGTTCTCCTGTTGCAACACATAAGCCCACAGATAACGCCTCTCTCAGCGACGCACCGCTACATTCACACTCAGATGATTTTCTGCACGCGCATATCAGCAGAGAAGGCAGTGTGTATGCTTCACGGTCGCAGTCTCCTTTGTCGGCGTTGACATCGGCAGCTGACCACGCGAGCAGTGCCGGAGTAGGGGATAGCAGAGTAGCTACAGAAAGTTCAGCAGCCAATAAAGCTTTGGACGCGATTAGAATTGATGGCATGAAATCAAACGATGAGCCGAGTATGTTTGGTAGTTTGATAGCTCTGAGCGGCCGTATTGAAATGGTAGCAGCTGCTGTGGTGGTGTTGGCGGTTATACAGCTGGTATATGGCTGGGAAGTTTTGTTCATCGCAATTGTCAGCACAACCATCGAATTAGCGGTATGTTTTCATATAGCTTTTCATGAGATGACATTACGTCTAACTACTCAGCTTCTATTCAGAAGACATTTGGGTTTGAACATTCTTCTTTTCACTGCTGCTATAGTAGTTAAAGGCAAAACACGCAGCGAATGTATTAACTTTTTGATTGAAACTGCTCGTTGTGTGTATATCGTGCTTTGAGTTTTACTGATCCATTCGCGTGTTGGGCATGAAGCTATATCATTGGTGAAGTCTCCACTTATCTTACAATTGTGCTTGTGATTAATAGTTTCCTCACCAGATCTAGATGCTCTCAGCCACAGGCTTATAACAGTCATTTTTTCTCCAGAAATTCACCTATGTGCAAGATGCTGTGCATTTGAGTCCAATCATTGTAGTCATTTTTTTCTTCTAACCGAACATTACTTTCCTCATTGTCAGGTGAAAAGCGTTTTTGCTCTGGGTTGCTTGGCGGTGCCTTTGATTGTCACTAGCGCAGTGTCTGGATCCTTAGAAACTGATCTGACGTCTTCTCCTTTATTGCAGGTGAGTACTGAGGCGCTAAGTAAACTCTCATAAGTGTGGTTTTAGTCTGCTGCCAGGGTTACTATACGTACAACATACCTACACTGCACACTATTATGTTTCGCGATCATACATACTTGGTAACTTGTAATTCGGTGCTCGACAGCAGGAATATTCTACCTGTGGTTTGAATATCTATCCTGAAGCATTGTAGTGTTGTTGATCACTTCGTGGCACTTCGTGGCACTGACCATAGTACGTTCAAGCAGCATTCCTTTAACACAGCAAATATTTATAACTCCAAGTGGGCTTGTATTAAAAGTCTATTTGTACCACCACACTGCACAGATTTGTTGGATTGTCGATGCCGTGATGCTGTGCTCTTCAGTGTACGTGATGCCTGAGCGTCTTGGCCTGGCTGGCTTTCTCCTGGTGTACATGTGTGGACTCGCGTCTCTCGAGGGCATCCGCGCCGCTCACACCACCGATGGACCCTTGGCACCTGGGCCAGGGATGATCACATGGGCACTGCTGTCATCGGGTGTGACTACGAGTCTCATACAGGTCCTGATATACTCTGGCATACTCATCGCCCGCATATGTGGCCCCACAGTCTCCTCGAAGGCCTGGCACAGACCCAATAGTCCGTACTCACCTTCTTATATTGAACAGCTCGCAAAAAGTAATTCCCGTGCGAGTACGCGCACGTCGTCGCCCATACCCACACTCAGAGATCGATCAGTCCCCCCAAGCCCTCGCACGCACATATCCACAGTACCGGTCTCTGGTCGGAGGCCCTGGTCAAACCCCGCCACACCCACACCAAGTGCAGTGCAACAAGTCAGCACTCGGCCTGTGAAACGTCAAATATCGCCGTCCAAACAGCGCTGGCCCGCAGAAAAGGGGTGTGGTGAAGGGGATGGTGCCACAGATGATGTGCCTCACAAGGTACAGACTAGAGGTTCTGAGATCTGCAAGGTAAAGCACTCGCCTGGTACAGCGGTGCCTGTCTCGATAATCGACTCAGTCGCTCGGGGCGTACTCAGCGTTGGTGGTTCTGAGGCTCGTGCGATTGGCAGTGCGGTACTTGGAAAGAAGGGATCTGTGGGTGCGAAGGTAGATACACCCAAGACTACAGATGCCATCAAAAGAGTGTCTTTGGGGGGAGAATCGTTAGATAATCATGTACAGGTTGATGCACAGAAGCAAGCACCTGAGGACATGCAGGGATCAAATAGGAAAAATATTAGCAATGAAGTGGACTCGAAGGCTCCAGGGAAGAGCCGCAGCCCTGACGCCGCACAAATGAAAGGGGAATCCTCAGCGCGACAAGAAAATGTAACACCGTCTCGTGCGACTGCCGAGAATCCGGGAAAGGCAAGTCCCCAATTACAAACTCAAGCCCCACCAATGAAGACCCATCTGCCGAGAGAAATCAAGAATTGGTCCGCATATCGTGGGTATGTCGTGATCATTGGTGTTTATTTAACGGCGCTCGAGTCTAGTTTGGTACTCGACGATATGATGCACCAAATATTTTTACGCTTTCGGCCTAGCTATGGCCCATTTTCATATCAAGTTGAACTGGTTTGTATCTAGAGTACAAGATCCAGAGAGTTGAAGATATCGGTTTTCTCTAACCGATAGAGACAGAATCCTCAATATAGAGCACAAAGTAATTTGGCTAACTCGATGTCAACTATACTAAGTATCATTCTCTGTATTTTATGCCTGCTAATTGTATATGCAGCTACCTGCGTGACGTTGAGAGAGACTTTAAAACGAGGAAGATGACGAAGTTTAAATGCGATGCGGACACTTTGTTTGCGCAGCCTGTATTCCTTGCCATTACAGCCGAGTTTCTCTGTCAAACAGATATTAACAGGCGCATCCACAATCAATACGAACGGTCCAGGATATCCGAGGTAAATTAAATCGTTTGAAGTCTCGCATATACAGCTTCATAGATCGAAGCGTAGACGGCGTGTGATATGCTCGCGTGTAGTTAAGTGTTGTACTTCATGTAACCATATATGCAGCTACCAGCCAAATCCACATGGGGTTATAGTTGTTGACACTTGTACACTGATAGTTGGGCGCATGAATGGCTCGGTGCAACGAAATACACGTTTATAACTTACTAGTGTAATCACTATTTCAAATCTATGGAGTAGGCATCCTTCGCTCTGGATAGTCTACCAGCTTGCAAATAATTTCCCAACCACCAACGGTCACTATTTATCTAAAGTAAAGCAGTGTGTATGTACTAATGCCTACTTTGAATACTTTCTCAGGTGCAATTTGTGCAGGAATCGAACTTCTTCACGGGTGACAAGAAATACGTCATGTTCCTTTATTCAGGGGAAAGGCCAGATTATGTGGTATGAATTCCGTAAATGTCCCAATTTATACATTCTTAAATAGCCTGTCGCTGTCCTAGGTGGTGTGACTCGGTAGTAGTCCCGCTCTCTACAACAGCAATAGGCTCTTTCTGGTTGGTGTGGTTCGATTGTACTCGCTTCTGAGTGGTACGAAAGGAACATTCTTTACATGCTTGTTGGTTGAGAGATTATAATCTGCACTCATCGCAGTAGAAGTGCCATAGTGGTACAATATAAGGCCCAAGTCCCAGACGTTTTGGGGCTCTTGAGTTAGAGACCTTCTATGGGAACTCTAGGACTAGGGCCGCTCATTGTGCCTCAAGGGAACTGCAATATAGCTCACCGCATAAGCGACGGCGGTGAGCGCGTTCTGAGATTCCACAGCTGGCAAACTAGATATCCACTCAAGTTTTATGATTTGTCTTTATCGTGCGAGTGTATCAAACTCACATGCCCTGCCCTTCCCATCGTTAGGTGTTCCAGAGCGACTTTGCCCAAGTGATAGTTCGGTATTTACAGACCGAAACGGAGACGCCGCCGAGGCTCAAAATAAGCAATGCACTGGGGACGAGGATATCCCTTACACGCGGCATATAGAGGGCTCGACAGGGAATGGCAACCTCATATAAGGTAGCACATTGGGCTGGTTCTCTACGCATGCTGAAGCAGGACAATAACGGCGTTTAAGGATCGGCCTCATCTGTAGTGCAGCACATAGTAAATTAATATAAAGCTTGGTTTTTAGAAGTAACTCACCAGCCGTTGCAGTGGACAAACCGGATTTCGAAATTGCCACTAATGTGAGGTTGGTTATCAATCAGCACAGAACCCGGCCGTCAATGGCATGAGTCACTTGACTAGTCTACAGACTTTTATAATGGTCATTCAAACTATTTAAACTCTGTTCCAGTGCTGCCAGTTTGCCCAACAGTTGTGAATGGCATATGCACTTATACAAGATTATCTGCTTAAACTGTTTCAGTTGCTGCCAATTGTGTGCTCAATAGCTGTGAATGGCATGTGCACTTATACAAGTTTATATGTTTAAACTGTTCCAGTTGCTGCCAAGTGCATACCCAATAGCTGTGAATGGCATGTGCACTTATACAAGTTTATCTGTCTAAACTGTTCCAGTTGTTGTCAAGTGTGCTCAATAGCTGTGAATGACATGTGCACTTATATAGGGTTGTGTTTGTTGTCCCATTTCGGTGCAGACTTTGCCAGCCGATATAAAATACTACTCTTGATGCACTTTTACATGTTTACACTATTGTGGCGCACAGTCATGTGCATCTCCTTTGAAGACACGACGTAAATATGGCATACTTATACTACGCTTTCAACTGAAACCAAGGTCCGCATAAATTCGGTTCTCGACACGCGGACTTTCCATTGATGCTTTGCGCCTATTCGGCGCGGGCAATACAAAACTAGACTATCACTCGGCGTACAGATTCAAAGAGTGTAGTGCCTTCTGGATAAACGCATGCAAGTTTGTGCAACTGAGCGTGGATTGGTTACAATGCGAAACGACTTGAATGCGAGGCACCGTCATGTCGACGACAATACCTGAGCCCACAAGGGCAGCTTCTATACAAATCAGCAATGTACGTGTTGCCAATAGCCTGCAATATCACAGCCGAACAACTCGAATTCAAAGTACATGCGACAACTTTGCATTGCTCCTTATCGAGTAATAATCAAATATTATCTGCAGGCAGTGTGCTTTATAGACGAAGATCCTGTGGCATTCCATAGACTCTACGAACACATTCATCTAGTCGTCATTCAAACGATTTTAGCGTACTTTCGAGCACACTAGCAATGCAGTAATATTCATACGACAATAAGGATAACAAGAGCAAAATGAGTTAAATGTTCCGCACACACAAAACACGAAGTCACTGATAGTAAGCAATGCACATATGGTCGCACACCTCTATACAATGCACAGACAAACATCCTGAGCAGCCGTGTGTGCACAGGAGTGTTTCATTCGTTGGCATATGATCGAGCTATGTCACCAGTGCCGACTACTCGCACATGATTAGGTGCACACCCGTGTCTATAACTAATTCATACGGCAAACGCACATGACTTTTCTTTTGCCCAGTGATAGTAGCACATGCCGATTGAACTTGATGATTCATCCGTATACTATGGTTTTAGTATGCCAACATGCAAACAGTTACCAAAGTCGACTCTACATACGTACACCCGAATGACCGCATACAGGTGTGATTACAAGATGGATATTTTATAAACAAGCAATGTGTTCAACAGCAACAGGCGTTGAATAGAACGAACGTTGTACTGTCCAGCGCAACTGCTTACACACTCGACAGAGACACGAGAAGTTGACTCACTCACTCACTTAAAAGGAGAGGACTGGTTGGCAGAATCACTACGAGTCTATGCACTATGCAATATCAAGAACTATCAGATATATCTACTACTTCCTCTCAAATATGCTTTGACTGTGAGGCGCAGCGCCTACCATACATGAGTGCATACTATGCAATACCGACATCACTCATCTACATATAACAATTCTGTATATGTGTGTGTATGACTTATATATATATATATATATATATATATGTATATTTACACCATGACAAAGAAATCACACATACACACATATTTATACAGGTGTTGGCATTCCTATGTACACACATGAATGATTGGCTACAAAAACGTAATATATTGTATACATACATGTACATATGGACGAACATCTTAATAGGTAGGTTTGAACACCACTTAAAAAGACAGATCATATAGGGTTGTAAAAATAAAATGGAAATCAGTATACATGTGCATATTAGATATAGGTATTATCTATATTCGCATGCATATGCATATATTCATACATATACGCTTATTACAGGAATGTACATTCAAATAAACCCCCTCCCCATCATATACATATGCATGCACCTACCTAAGGATATACGAACAAGTGTACTTGTACATATAAATACGTATGCATCCGACTATACATAGTCTCGTAGATATATAAAATTACGTGTAAGTAATCTTTGTACATAACGACAAACATACGTAAACACTCCCATTGATATATATAATCTTGTGTTTATGTGTATACAATAAATACATCTGCGTGCCTTTTATATGAGAACAAATACTCGCG